TTAATGCAAAGTATACTCACCCAAGTAGATTCCAGTTTAGGCGTTCAGGTTGGCAATTTTTAAATGCATCGAAGCATCGTACTGTGATTCCGGTTGCTCGCGCTAGATGGACAATGTCAACATCCACGTACCAGTGAACCCAAATCCAGAATTTCTTGCCATGGCGTATAGGTGCTTTAGGGAACTAATCCGGTAACAGGTTAATTATCAGCTCTGGGAGAGACTTATTCACTTTTATAGAATAATGGGTTAAGCAGACAGTCAATACACTTACTCTACGTATACAATAAAGCCAGTTTTCGCCACCGTCTAGGCTCACCTCAACCCGCTGAACCTCATGACCGCCTCCAGAATATGCGATTCCTTCAATTCTGTATTCCTTGCGCCTCTTATTATCACCAGTGACTAAATTTAACGCCTCTCCGTTGGCAGGTTTAACAATCACAGAATTCAAGGTCTGCTCGACGCAAGCAGTGCTAGGCAGTTCAAACATCGCTTTAGCAAACTCCGAGTCCATGTCAACGACAAAACTGGGCAGCACGCGATTGTCAAAGACATGATAATAGGTATCGTTTTCTTTATCGGACGTCCAGATACGAGACAGCCACTTCACACATCGTCCACCAACATAACCAGGGATAACGATGCGGAGCGGATAACCATGATCTGGGGGTAGGACTTTATCATTCATCTCGTATGCAAGGATAACGTCGTTATTCGGATCCATGGCGTATTCCAAGGGAATGCATGTTGCATATTTCCCGTCGCTGGGGTCATCTGCCCCTTCGAAGTTAACCCAGGTGCGGTAGGGTGGTGGCTCATCTGGTACTCCCGCTGCAAGCAAGACATCACGAAGCAGTGGTCCTTTCCAATATGCACACCCACAAGCCCCGGGACCCCAGTTGAAGCCCTTAGATCTCTTCACCATGTTGACTTCCTTGCGTCTATTGCCATCACACGCAATTAGAACAGGAATATTGATAGTTTGAAAGCGGTCCTTTAGCTCGTCCATTGACAAAACCAACTTTCCATTTTCGACATCAAGCCGATGAGTCTGCCATCGTAGATGAGGAACGGGACCATGGTTGCGCACAAAATGGAGTTTATTTGGCGTAATGAGGCCAGCATCGTACAGAGTACTCAGAGGCGGCTCACAGTTTAATGGGTGCTTTCCCGTCAACCGAATTAGGGCATCGTTTCGAGGAATCCAGTTGTCCGGAGAGAATTGATCAGCCTCATCGATGCGCATAGGTTTTGCGTCTTGACCACCAGCCAGCGGAGACCGGCCCATGCCATCGTCTTGTTTGAGTGATTTTATATACTCCTTCTCCGTTTGTAATGTCCGTAAGAGGGCAATCTCCTGTGCGGAATACGTTTGCTTCGAACGGTCAGCCGTCTTCGCGAGTGGTTCTCCCTCCGCGCCAGTCTCGTTTTCAGGTGGACTAGCATCCTCTCCGTTGGTAGCATTCTCCCCACACTCTCGCCTCCTTTCATTCTCTTGCTTCAAATGCCTCTGTACTTCTTCTACTTCCTCCTTCCTTTTTTTCTCCTCTTCCTCTTTCTGTCTCTTCTGCACATTCACAGGCCAATTTTGCTGACACTTAATGAAATCTTCCGTCGTATGCAACACATATCGCCAGCCCTCCGAGAAAACTTCAGGTCTTCTCAGATGGAAGTCCTATCGTTATCGTATCGTGCAAGCAAACCACATTAGCGAAACCCGGAGAGGAACAAATCAATTAAAATACACACCAAACTCTCCTCAGCCATGATTACAAGATAGAGTAATGTATACTTCCTGCTTTGTCATAATATCCCTCACGGTAAGCAGATCGCCACGTTCCAATTTCTTTGATAATTCCGCCTCATTCTCAATCGCATGCTCCTCAAATTCGAGCTCCTCCTTCAACCATTCATCGCCACGCTGCGTTAATCCTGGGAAATGGTTTTCTCTATTACGGAGCCCGATACGGGGCAGCACGGCCGTTCTCCAATTCGGCTCCTCTTCAATTTCTTTCTTAGTGGAGCCGGGGTGGTACCTGGGGCAGGTGATATGGGCACCAGAAGCCATTACTTCTCGTTATCGATGTAAGCCAGTTTGGATCGCATTGGGATTCCGATAAACAATATTTATTTCGTGGTTGATGCCCAGCTCAATGGCATGTTAACCGATCGGATGGACGAGTGAACTGTATATATTCAACATTCTGCAACGTTTTGTTTCGTGCTTTGAAAAACCAAACCATTTCATTTCCGCAAAGGATTTAAACCTATATATCTATTTCGTAAAAACCTTGGAAAGATCAGATTTCATCGCATATGACTTCACCGTTCTAATCCCTGAAATGATGATAACAGCTCTGACAGGAGGTGCGGTTAAAAGGTTTAGCTGCATGACATCATAGTGTAACACGAGGGATCTGGGGTACGATGACATCAACCAAACCACTCAAGAACCAACAGACAAACACAAATGAGTGCGGTTGCACTATCATGTGGGTTTGCGATTGCATATGGTTATATGTCAGAGTCGGTAGGAATCGGCAAAAATGAAACGAATGATGTGGGTAAGCTCACAAATAATACGAAATCTATCCTTTTCCATGAAACCTAGGCCTGGCAATTAAACTCTCGTTACCAGACATATCCAATGCCACATTCTAAAACGCCATTTACAGGATGACCTTGTGTGTCGCTCCCTTCTCCAACTCCTCTCCAAATATATTAATATCCCACCGTGGCGAGTCTATATGAAAATCAGTGAGCAAAGGCGAATTGGAAACCTGCTAGAAATAATTTGACACTCACAATATGCACAGGGGGTATTGAATCGTCTCGGTTGTTTAACCAGATCATTGATTGCAGAAACGTCCTCCGGAGGCAGATCAATTTCTTGAAAGTTCTCGACGATTCTAGAGGGAGTGACCGACTTGGGAATGACACTGTGTCCACCAATCTGAGACCAGGCGAGCCTACAAAATATCATTATTAATATATAAGCAAGAAGAGTTAGCCCTCGGGATCATTGAACAGACGTACAAGACCTGAGCTGGTGTCACGGAGAGTCGACCAGCGATCGCTTGAATCTCTGGATGAGAGATAAGAAGTGGCTCTCCGATCATGTTGTTTCCAAACGCCTGTTTCGGTGCGTTAGATTATAAAGGCGTTTATAATGCTGGGTGAATGGGAGTCTAACTGAGTAAGCAGTGATGTGAATGCCCTTCTCCTTGCAATACTTGACCAAATCATTGCTTTGCAGCAGAGGATGGCGCTCAACTTGATTCACCGCTGGGACGACCCCAGTTCCCTTGATAAGAGCTTCGATCTAGATCGAAGTATAAGCGTTAGGACTGAGATCCAATGACAAAGTGCGTAAAACATTTAAGCGTTCAGCCACCATACATATTCTATTGTGTGGTTGGATACTCCAACGCTTCTAACTTTGGTCTTGGGAAGTTGGGTCATAGCTATTAAAGCAAAGTCAGTAGGGGTCGTGTAAGCGGTCAAGTAACCCTGTTCGTGTCTGGGAGTCGTAGAGTCGTATAGATTCTTATGACATACCTCTCCACGTGTCCATGAGGGAAGTGGAATCATCGATTTTGACGTCATTCCTTGCGCAGGAGCTTGCTGTATCGAGAGGGAAAAGGTCTCTTTCGGACCGATACTCGAACGCCACTGGCCAGTGGATAAGGAAGAGCTATGGAAGGGACATGTAAGAGCTCAGCCGTGCAAAACGAGAGCATATCTGCGAAGGAACGTACATCCAGATAGTCAAGCCCAAGTTGGTGCAAGCATATATCAAGGGACTTCTCAACATGTTCTGGCTTATGGTGGCTTGTTAAATATTGGAAAGGTCAGCGGATTCCAACGTGACTTGATGATGGCTGGGAACGTCGTACTGATTCCACAGCTTAGAGGTCTGTATGCCAAACGCGGGTCAATTAGCGGCTATTCTGGGCGACGTGTGTTTCTTCCGAAAACATACTATAAATATATCCTCTCGCTTCAGTCCGGGAATTTCTTTCAAGGCTCTCTTCAGGCCTTCACCAACCTCGCGCTGATTTCCATAGCTAGCACACGAATCAGAATACTGGTTTGGACAAGATTGTTTATGGTTAAGTAATTAGAACCCACATGTGGGCAAGGTCCTACAAAAGTTATCCATAGTTAGTTCATTGACACACACCCTCAATATCACTGAGGTTCCTTACAAGATGACGATAGCCAGCTTTGAGTGCCTCGAAAACACCTGCGCCGACTTCACTGGGAGCGGACTGCCATGTTCCGTAGCCAAGAAGACTTCAATTAGGAGAGATGAGAAAAAGATATCAGTTCGAAAGGCCCTCACTTTGGTATATGTTTCAATGGATACTCACGGAATATGGTGGCCGGTGTTGAGACACGCACTTCTACCGAAAGACATGACGGTGAACGGAAATGTGGTGTAAATTGATATGATATTGATATACAGAAGCAATAGAGTATGCAGGAATTCGTTTTCCAGAGGTAAAATAGAGCGCCGGAAATGTGCTTGGGAACTTAAATGTAAGTTGTGCTCACTGCCCCTCCAGGATAACGCCCTTCTCCGGCTCGACTGATCTCACGTTGTGGAGTGGATTGTGGAGTGATATCACGATCTCCAACTGTTTTCACAGAGAATTCTAAATTACCTGTCACTAGTGGACGTAATATTTCTCGAAATCCTTTGTGAGGCATATCAGCAACTATAACTCTTCAATGTGGCAGCAGGCAATGATTGTGCTTCCATACATTCATAGATATGAATAGGGGTGACGAGAGTGTCTCTGGATTTCATCTATTGTTAATGCGCCGGTCAAGTTATTAGTGTCGACAATCAGGTTGCAGTTCCAAATTTCCACTTTTTCTACACCTGAACGAGTAGACTCGATATTCTGCCCTGAATGAAAAGTAAGGGTAACTAGGTCCTAGGTAGTGCCCAGTGCTCTGGCATGGTCGTGAAAGATTTTCCAGAAACTTAGTTATCCACAACATAGGTGGGGAGAGCCGAATTTTAATACCGCACCCATTGACATATGAATTGAATGGCTTGCAGGCAATTCCATCAATTTCATTGATTTCACCTTCTCCATTTCCATTTGCCCGTAGGCTCCGGAAACTGGTGCGCTGAGATGCCGCTTGATCGAAGTGCTAAATTTATTTTGTATCTGGGGATCCCCATGGAACGCAGAAAGCTTACCCGCCACGAGGAGCAAACTTTTCTGTTTTGGCAATCTAGCCCAGTCCCAAGAGCCCTTGTGCGTTTCTGAAAATAAAGTGTGCATAGTCACTTGCGTCGCAACTACAATGAGCTCTATTCCTGGCCTTTGGCATGTTTTTGATAAGATGTCACTAGATTTCACTCTCAGTTGGAGATCCTAGAGTTAGAGCTTGCAAGACTTACCCTCGAGATAAGTTCTACCATGGAAGCTTCCATTGGTTGGGTAGTCCCCCGCTGCTGATTATCTTAACTAGTTAATAATAATGGGTTGCAGGATTAGGGCTTGATTGCCAATAATAACATGTTTAGGATTTGCGGGCAGGGTTATTCTGCCTCTGCTTGCCGCCTTGACGTAACCCCTGAAACCTTCAGCAAGGTCCAATCCAATGTCACAACCCCTGTGGAACTGACAGAATGGGCCAGCTCCGTTGATTTCAGAGTTTGCACGCTACGAGAGAACGACTATATGGAGAACAGTCACGTGAAAGAGGTGTCCGACAGGAACTGGTGCTTTCAAGCTTCTCGTGAGACGACCTCCACATCCTCGATCCCAACCAATATTGAGAGCCGTATCAGTGTGCTATATAATGTCCAATGTCAAAGTAGGGCTCGTCTATTGATCGAGAATACCTAGTTCATCGTGACTCTGGAAATATATATCTACCAATGTAAGAGGGAGGGCGATTAACAACCATAATGGTTTTATATGCCGACAAAGAGGCGGCAGATGGCGAAAATATCGATTGGATTCTCAGTGAGGTATCCCGTCGAAACCAACAAGAAGATATCAGCTTCGTTGCAACGTTCACATCTCTAGAAATGGAGTAACTAGCACTGCTTAGGTTGGTGTTCCAGACTCCGGCCAATCGTCCCCAAAGCTTAAATAGTGAATTTCAACAGCAGATCTCACACCTGCCGGATCCATAACAGCAAACAGGACATTAATCTGCACAAGTGAAGATACTGGCATATCCGGACCCAGGTTATTAGGGAAAATTCGCAAATATGCAAGAAGGCATATCAACCATACTAAGAGTCATCAATCAAGTACATCATCTTTTTTCGGATTTCGAAACAACAGAACCAGCACTTCCATCGCCGTAAGTTTCACTGGTAGAAACATCTCCATCCTCTTCTTCTTCATCTTCAGACGTAGCAAACCGAATTCTCTTCCCATACAGCAAGGGCGTGCGACCGACCGCACTCCCCAAAACGTAACCAACATACGCTCCCGTAATAATCGTGATAGGGTATGCTTGCCATGGCCGGTCCCTTCAAATAAGTCGAAAGTTATATTAGTAAAATCCACTTAATACTTCTCTGAGAAACCAGATAAATAGAAATAGATAAAAAGAGGCTCAATACCAATCCAGCGGGATTGGCACGGCACCAAACCACGCGCCCAATCCAACACCAACAGTTCCTCCCCAGACAGCATCTGTACCACGTGATAGACCCCATATCTCCCGCCAGACTATGCCGTCCGTGCCGTGCATGTATACCAGACTCGTGCCTGCGAGGAGGGACATGTGCGCAGCGCAGAGGATAGTGTGGGGGATGTGAGTCGTGAATGGCGCACCGAAGAGAATGAGAATGAGAGAAAACAGCGGGGTGCCCAAGAAGAGCGGGAGGGTTAGGGAGAGGAGGGCCGGCTGAGTCTTATGTTAGCATGTTTCTTCTATCTCCTGGACATTGGAACGTGCACGATATGGATCTTTTTTTCTTCTTTTTTATTTATTTATTTATTTATTTATTTTTATTTATTTATTTTTTTTTTTTTCAGAAAATGAAATGAATAATGAACATACGATAATCTTTCCCCTCTCTCCGTCCCCATGTATTCGTTTGCGCGCCCCAATCTTCCCCCCACTAGTACCCCTGCCGCTCCTCCCTTTCCCTAGGCCCCCTTCTCCACTGCCACTACCGCCACCGGCAGCAGCAGGCAAGCATACTACCGCATAAACCCCCTGTAACAGCGCCAGCAATGGCAACATGCTAAGCAGTGTGGACACGGGATCCTCAACGAGGGCGCGGAAGCGCCAGGTAAAGAGACACAGCAGGAGAAGCGGGTGGATGTGCGCGTATGTCCGGGAGGAAGGAGAGGCGAGTACGGAGGTTGGCGGATGTTGTTGGGCTTGTGGTGAGGAAAGTGATTGGTGCGGCGGTTGATGTGGTGTGGTTGTCGTCGAGGTGGGTTTCGAGGGAGAGGTGTGCAGGGCCATGCTTCAGGATTTCCCTGAGGTGGGAGTTTTGCCCGTATTTGGCAATGGCACTGTTGAGGATTCTCTCCGTTTACTATAGGAGAGGCATTGGTGTTACGTTGGTGCAGGGTTGGGATTTCTTGACATTATTTTCGGAAGAGGAAGTTTCGTTTTTGAGAAGAGATTGCGGTTGAGATTTGAGGTTGGAGTTTTGGGTTGCATGATCTAATTTTACGTATGGGATAGTATTGGGAATACGACAACCTGCAAAATAAAATACGACAATGTAAGATTCACCAAATTCCGACCTATATAATATCTGTATGGTAACTCTTGAGACTGTTGATGAAGAGGTGAAGGAAGGGTTATCCCAATGGTTAATTAGGCTGATTAGAAATGCTATGTATTTGTGTTTAAATAGTAGTACAGTAATCATCAGTTCAGCAAAAATGATCCCATGCAAGCGAAAAAAAAAAAAAAAAAAAAAAAAAAAAAAAAAAAAAAACCCGTTACAAGGACTTGAGTCGATGTGGGAACCAAAATAAAAAATATATGCAAAAACATTGGTGGAATAAAAAAATACCAAGAAATAAGAATATCTCAGCTCAGAGGTGAATTATGAAACAAAAAGAGAATCACGTATCAACGAAAAGTCAATTGACAATAAGGTGGGGTCCACGCTGAGAACCGCCAAAAAAGAAATAAATAAAAATAAAATCTGAGCATATGAAAGACTATAATATAGATACATAATTTGAAGTGAAAATAAAACTTAAGGTAGCAAAAATGCCAAAATGTGAGCAGGAAGAACATCGCCTGGGAAATAGGTAATAATATACAGAAGACAGGGAAGTATAAAGAAGGGCCGGAGTCCCGAACAAAGAAAGGCAAACAGCGGAAAAAAGGTTCCAAAAAAAAAAAAAAAAAAAAAAAAAGGCAGAAAGAAAGGACGTTTGAAATCCTAAAAAGGACTTCCATACGCCACAAACAACCGAAAACCGAGTCGTAAAATAAAGGCCGTGAGTATGTAAGACGGTGGAATGTAGAGAGGTATGTACAGAACAATTCTCTGGATGGGGGTGCCGCGTCAACTCCTTCCCCGTTGAATTGTCAAGTTGCTTGCGATGGGATATCTGAGGCCGCAAAATGGACCATAAAACAAATAATATAATATAAATAAAAATTACTATAAGGAAAGGGTAGGCGAAGTGCGATGGATGAATGGACGAATGAATGAATGGCAGAGGTTTAATGTAAATGCTAAACAACTGCAGTCGTTCCGGAATTGGGTTGAGAGGCGCATTGATAAGATATGGTTATATATCATATCATGCCCGCCAGATGATGATATCTCTCTAGCGGCCCCATGTTGACTCCTCGGTATGCATCGTCTATCTTCCTCTGATGGGCTTCCGTGAACACATCGCCACCGTCTGGTTCAGCGCTCTGGCTCCCTCTTCTATCGCTACACCTCCGGTTTCGGGGAGAAATTCTTTCGGAGGAATCGGAGTAGGTGGGAAGTAAGAAACTACCATGTGCCATCAGGGGTTGGGCGCTGTTGAGAAAAGCGACGTCCCGTTGCAATTGGAAGATTTGTTCTTCGAGAAGTTTGCGGGCGGTCTGTTCCCGTCGCACAAGAGTGGTCAGTGCGCTGTATTGTTCGACGGATATTCCATTGAAGTCAGAGACGGAAGTAGACAGGGTCTGACAGGAGACATGGTGACAGGCAGTTTGGGGCCGCAAGGTAACAGTACTACTAGGTCTGTCAGTGCTGGGTGAGGTTCGAGGAGGAGTGATGCTGGGACTTGATTGGAATGAGCTGATGAAGCGGGGTACATCAGTGTCTTTCTGATAGGGGGAATGTCGTCGCATGCTCTTGTCAAACGGTTGCTTTACGGGGGAAACGTTATGGCCTTGAAGTTTTGCGATGGCAAATTCAAGGTCCATCAGCTTCACCTCCAACATATTTACTCTTTGAGCTAGGTTGGTGTCGGAACTATCTTGCATCGTCCCCATCAATGTGCTGAAATTGAACGGGTCGTCTATCGATTGGCCGTCATCTGCATCGTCTGCATCGTCTGCGGCTTCTAGAACGCTAGCAATAGTGCTTCTGGTTTCAGGTCGTGTCAGGACAGATGGGCTCCTATCTGATTTCAGAAAGCTCTCCCTCAAAAGTTTGATCTCGTCGCTACGCCGTCGCCATTGTATTGGAGACATACGATGCGATCTTGCTGCCTCCCGCAACCCAGATACACTTCGCGACCGTCGTTTTTGTTGTTTGGATGTCATTTGGGGGAACCCCGCAGGCTGTGTCACGTTTTGTGGTGGCGAATGGATACTGCGCGGCCTCGAGGTAGGCAAGGCGATATGGAGTGCTAATTCACGGGCTTCCTGAGTTGATAGGACCATGCTTGGCAGAGTTGCCCTCCGTCGAAGCTGTCGATGGTCTAGTCTTGGTGACCCATTGTTTGATCGTGGAAGACAAGGCATACCTATATTTCCAAGTGGACTATCTGTAGGACTCTGGGGTAATGAACTTGTCCGAGCTGGTAAAGACGGAGCTCTATTTGAGCGTGAGCGCAAAGAGGCGGGACCAGCTTCAATTGGATGCTCTACCGGTTGAAGAGCAGGGGTCCATTGTGATATTCTGACCGCATTGCGCTGTTCACTCGTCATGGGCACTGGGCCACTCCCCCGCTTTCGACCGAAAATCCTGCGCATTACTGTTCTCAGGGTGCTGCCTCTGCGACTATGTTTGACCAAATCCTTGGACATATTAGTGGAAACTGAAGTTTGAGGAGTGTGAGATATTACACTATTTAAAGGGTTGCTCGAGGTCACGCGACGGTAACTGTCGGGCCGTGCCGTGGAGGTAGTCTGGCCATTCTTTGGAGGTACTGCAGCTACAGAAAGAGGCTCTGAGACATCTGGAGGCGGGGCATCGAGAGAGTCCTGACTAGGATGCTGAGAGAGGAGAATTGGATCTGATGTCTTCTGCGGCCAAGGTTTTGAGGTTGGCGAGAGATTCCGAAACCCATTATTGCTGTGCAGTAGGAGCGGCTGAGCAAGAGGAGATATGGTGCTCGCCATCACAAGTTAGGCTCATGAGGAGACGATAGTAGGGAGCTAAATTTGCATTTCTCTCCCCGACCTCCTCCTCCTCTTCTTAAAGGTAGGTGGCTGAGTCCCCTTTATCAATAGTCTCTCACCTCGGGAACTGTGGCTGGCGCTGTGCGCAATCGTGATTGTTGGAGAGGGGATCACAGATCAACACAGGCAGTGATCCGATGAT